TCAATTTACTGTACATCATGCACTGGCCCCAAATATAAATGAACCGATGAGAGGTACTTCATATTTGTGGAAAACAGGCCTTTTAGCTCACATGCAAACTGTACTAGCGTCCCAAAATAGCTCTGACTCACTTCCATCATTCTGCTATTGCTTGCTGCATCATTCCAACGAAAACCATTTTCAAGCAAGCGCAAAAGGAAATCTCAAATTAAAAGTCGTTAATTCTCGCACTAATGCTTTCGAAATATTGGTGCTGCTGTTAAATTCTGTAGATGCGAGAATCATACGACTAAGAGGATATATTTATGAATAAGACATATATTTTCCTTGTCCAAGCAAATTTAATTCTCGCACTAATCTTCTAATCATGCACCGGAGGAAATTGTCATCTTTTCGAGATGAAAAGTTAGTGATGGGGTTGTCAGAATGAGTTTGACACTCTACCCTAACATTAAATTTGTCGTATTATGTTAACAAGTCTCGTAAGATATAAGCCTCGTCCATACAAACATATTGATTGCTTAACAAGCTATGCAAGTAACGAAGTGCCTCGAACATAGCCTGGGTCCAATTGAGCCCATTTATTTAAATCTGAGCCCAACTTCAACTCTCCAACCTCCTGATCTCCCTCCCATTCCCTCCCCTCCTATTTAAAGCAACGTACTCGTTTCGGCGGTTCGCACGACTACTCGCCGGCCACAACCCCAGACGACGGACCGCCAACCTCCACCGTGTCTATTTCTCTCTTCTCGCCGTCTTCGTCGACGAAATTGCTGTACAAGAATTTTGTAGGGTTTAGGAAGGTGACGACTGTCGAATGAGCTATGGCGTCTTCGAGTAAATCTTTGAAAGAGTATTTGAAACGGTATGAAGTGAATAACGAAGAGGAGGAGAAGAGAAAGAGGAGGAACAAGAAGCAGAAAACCAAGGCGGAGCCAGTGGGCGTTTTAGTGATGGATGAAGATCCTGTTTGGCAGAAACCGGTGAATGTCGGGGAAGACAATGGCGACAGTTCATCGGATGAAGACAAACCTGTAGTTGATGAGGACATTGAGATAAAGAGGATGAAGAGGCTTCAACAATTGAGGGCCAGACGTCCCATAAATTCCATTTCCGAAGATGGAAGCGGTTGGGTTACGGTTGGAGACTCTCCTCCAAAGCAGTCAAACTCTGAACCAATGTCTCTGGAATATAGTAGGGAAGATGCTGGCTTGTCACCTCCACGGCAGGGACGGAAGCACTTGCCTTCTCCTCCTGGATCAGACCTACCACCCCCCAGGAAAAGGAGGCAGGATGTTGATGCAGATTTTTCTCCACCAAGGTAGAGCAGGAAGGACGTCAGTGAAGATCTTTCTCCGCCAAGGAAGGGAAGGAAGCACGCTGATGCCGAACTTTCTCCACCTAGGAAAAGTAGGAACAATGTTGATACTGATCTTTCCCCACCAAGGAAAGGCAGGAGGGATGTTGATGCTGATCGTTCCCCACCAAGGAAAAGCAGGAAGGACATTGATGATGATCTTTGGCAGTGACGAGATCAATAAAACGAAGAAGGATGCGTGGTTAAGGTATGTGCCTGTTTTAACCAACATATTTATGCCGATGCATCATGATGAATAAGTAAAGTGCGTATCTTTTTGTTCAGCTAACTTGATTTCAAATCAAGTAGAGGGATCTTCATCCTCTTATTACTTTTCGCTAGAGGTTGTTTCGTGCTTTCATTGAAAACTTAACCATTGGTTTTGCCCTTTGTGGCCTAACTTACAAAATATTGTTTTCCGTAGATTTCAACAGATGGATCCTTCTGTAAGTGGGAGGGAGGCAGTACCTATATATCGTGATAAGAAAACAGGTAAGCTGAAGTTCTATTTTCTCCTTTTATAGTCATGTATATGACTTTTGTGTTGTTTATCTGGGTCTCACACGCCAACGCGGCAGGGGAACGCATTTCGAAGGAGGAGCTTTTGAGATCACCAAGGAGAATAGATGAAAACCAAAGGTATGCTGGAACTTATCATTTATTGTGCCTTTTGAATAGAGTGGTAACGGTCATTTTGCTTGTATTCGAATCAGGAGATAAAGTTGGAATGGGGCGAAGGCTTGGCCCAAAAGCGGGAAGCTGAAACTAAGCTGGAGGAATTAGAACTTGAGAAGGAGAAGCCTTTTGCACGGACTAGGTAAATGCTATGAAAGTCGTCCGAGTTATCTTTTCCTTTGTTTTCTTGGTATTGCAGTGTTTAATATTGTTCGTTGTAACCCTTCAATAGAGACCATCATTTGTTGTGTTTCGAAACTGTTTAAAGTCCTTATCACTTCTTATCCTTGCAGCATTTTCTGATTTATCTTGTGATCGCAGAGATGATCCAGAACTCGACAAAATTTTGAAGGAGAGAACAAGATGGGGCGATCCCATGGCACATTTGGTGAAGGTAATAAGTTAGGTTCGCTATGTTGTTGCTAACTTGGGGGTTGATGAGAAAATGAAGGAATCTGGATTCGTTATTCCGCAGGACATTCCTGTTCACAGCTGGTTAAAAAGAGGATTGGATGCTGCACCAAATCGACACGGTATAAGACCAGGGAGACATTGGGATGGAGTTGATCGCAGTAACGGTAGGTTCTCTTTTCCCATTCTGCATTTGAGTCCTTTCTTTTACTCTGTGGCATGATACGCCGAGGGAAAACATGTGCACGATTATTTCAGAATTTACTAATCTGTGCCTTCTGTGTCACGCAGGATTTGAGAAGGGAATGTTCAAAAGGAAGAATGAGAAACAAGCTACGCAGGCGGAAGCTTATCTTTGGTCTGTGGCAGATATGTGACTTGTACCGAGTAAGGAACTTGTGTGCTTGTATCTCCTGCCGTTGCCACTGGAGGCAACTTTTGTCAGTGGCCATAATGGTTGGTTTTGGTCTTTCCTTGCAAATATTATAGATTGCAAATGATGAACTAGTTTGATATGGAGATTCAAAAGATTTAGGGAGCTATCAGAGTAAATTTTGTTGAGATATAGGTTTTTTGGACTATTTCCTTGGATTGGATCGGGCCTTTTCTGGGTCGAAATAATGTTTACTTTTCTTGTGTCCTAACAAACCAATGCCTTGGGCCTTGATGATGGACTAAGCAATACTCGAAGACGAATTCGGATCACATTATTACTAGTTCATTGACAAGTTAAGCCCACTTTTTCTCCTTCTTAGTATGGATAATAACGTTTGTTCCATAAAAAAAATTCTCATTTTATTTTTTTCAATTTACTTTCTTTCTTTGTTTCTCGTTGCCTGCTTTAATTCTCGGCAACCAAACGGAATTTAGGACTCCACAATTTCGTTAATTTTTTTCCCTGCGCGGTTTGGAGCGCCTATAAAAGAAAGTTGGATAATTCGTCTGAAACTTATATATATATTTGCATGGCCGCATGTTCTATTCCATGGGAACCATAGGTTGCATCAATTTCTCATTAACAACAGAAAATTTTAATTTATTAAATTTAATCAATAAATTGGTTGTCAAGTACACATCAAATTTAAATTTTAAAAGACTTCTTTTAGCTACAGAATACGAGTAAGTAAGAATTAATTTAAAAAATCGAATCAAAATTCTAAAATTAATATTTCATATAACTAGAACTGTTCCAAACAATAAAATAAGTAAAAAAAAATCTATTAGAATAAAAGACAATAATAAAAAAGTTGTCCCAACCGAGCTTGTAGTGATCGGCACGCCCACAGCAGTACTCCTCCGTTTGTAGAACCTTGTCGCCGCTTCCGGCATACAACTGCCTCCAATTTGCTCATGCACCACTGTCTGTGTATTACTTCCTGAAGGCTCTTCCACACCCTTTGCTTCCTGCTGCGCTCTCCGTATCTCCCCTGCTATTTTCAGTGTTTCCGACTCCATTCTTGCCGATTCATCTTGTTTTTCGCACATCTTCCTATTCAAAAGGTAGTTCTTCCTATTCAAAAGGTAGTTCTTTCTATTCAAAAGGTAGTTCTTCCTATTCAAAAGAACGTTCTTCCTATTCAAAAGGTAGTTCTTTCTATTCAAAAGGTAGTTCTTCCTATTCAAACGAACGTTCCTCCTATTCAAACGAACATTCTTCGTATTCAAAAGAAAGTTCTTCCTATTCAAAAGAAAGTTCTTCTTACTGAAAACCAAGTTCTCCATACCCAAATGCATGTTCTTCTTCGTATCCATGGCTTCCTGCAACTTCACTACTTTTAACAGTGCTTTAAGAGACGTATTCAATTCAGTAAGTCGATGCGTGTAGCTGGCCTTCGAGCGTCTGCACCAAATGCACAAGATGTTCCAGTTCCACTTTCTACGCTTCGATAAACGCTTAACGAGCTTTTTACCCTGCTTCATTTGTTGTTGGAGACGTTCTATGTCATCGTTTGGGAGATTCAGTTCCACGTTATGGTCTTTTATCCCTTGGATGATCCACGGTCGTAAACCGTCTAGTGTAGTTTGAAGATCTTTAAGGACGCTTTCGTACTTAGAAACTGTCCCTATCGATGCCTTCACGGCATCATACAGTCCGTCAAACAATTTTCCTATGAGAGCCCCTGTAATCACAGTCACCGCCATGATTTACGAGCTTCCAAAAACTCCCTGCACGCAAAAAGCAGAAAAAAACTTGTGTTCGATTCAATCTAAAACGATCAACCTTACTATTGCTCAGTCGGATTCAGATCAGTTTTACTCTAGCGGATAATGAATGGAAAGAGTTACGTTGAATACTTCACTAATTTATTCATCCTTTAAGGGTTACAATATATAGACACACGTGCCTTGTTTTACAAGGAAAGTAACTACAAGATAAGGAAACTAACTTGTAAAGATAAAGAAAGTAAATACAAAAGGCTAAGTAGGTTAAAATTTCCAATTGCTGTTGGGAAAGAAGAAAAGGAATGTGGACGTGTTATTTCCCATACAAATTGGGAAATAGGTTTTTCTTTCGGATGTTAGATTAGGAAATAAGCCATGCACATCCAATATCGTGACAAAAAAATATGGGCCTTACCGTTCATCATTTGGGTCGGGCTCAAAAGACATCCAGAAATTTGTCTTATTTTATTTTTCAAATAAAGGTCACGTGACGTGCACAAACAGAGAGTTGAGACGGAGAAAGCCAGCGAGAAAGGCGAGAAATCCGCAAGTTGGTGGCCGCGCGGTGGCGGCGGCGTCGTCGTCGTCTCGTGATCCAAACGGTGATCCAACGGTTGAAGGCCCGTCTGGATCCAACCCTGGCCTGTTTCTTCTTGCAGGCGTCGTCGACTTGGTACGTACCTTTCACGCTCTCAAAATTGTCGTTTTATTTTTTTTCAATTTACTTACTTTGTTTGTTTCTTGTTGCCTGCTTTTTTCTCGGCAACCAAACGGAAGACTGCACAATTTCGTTAATTTTATTCTCTGCTCAGTTAGGATTTTTCAGTAGAGTAGAATTGTCATAAAAACAGATGAAAATTCGAGAAGTGTAAAATTCCACGATTGGAACGCCTAGAAAAAGTTGGATAATTTCGTCTGGAACTTTGTTTTGCTCAATCGGAGATACTAAGAACCCATAAATTCTGCAGAATCTTACATATGTGTGTTTAAAGTCTGAAAATTTTCTAAATTTGTCATCTGTTTGAAACAATGGCTGAGTTGTTGTTGTTGTATCGATCAGGTGCCGCCTAATCGATACAACAACAACAACAATGATAAAGCCCTAGATCACTGAGTGGGGTTGACTGTATGAATCCAAGAACGCTACGTAAGTTACGTAGTGGTGTTTATCCCACTTGGTTCATCCCGAATTGCTGATTTATCCATGAATCGTTTGACTATGGCTCCGCATTCTCTACAAGTACAAGTATTGTGAGGGAAAGTTGAAAAGAACACTATTTAGGGAGTGCAATAGAGGACCTGAGATCCCATGCGAATAATCAATTGGAGGAGTGGAGATTGGTAAGACCAGTGTCCAGGAGAGACTTTGATGATCTTTCACTACAAGTTGTGAAGGAACTAGAGACGTTGATTTTTGAAATTTTCAATCTTTGAGAATTAATGAACTTCCACTCAGTTTTAGGGATCCGCTCTAATTTTTTCAGTTATAAGATAAGTAAGCTTAATTTGGATCCCATCTTATGTTAAACCATGTGTGTTGTAGGTTAGGTGGAAAGACAGAAAATGGTAGGAGTTACTCCAGACAATGGAAGTAGGAGACGTTTACCGCAGTGGATGCTGGGCATATCTTCTGGTGTCCAAGTAAGCAAACCTGGTAATGTTAAGGAAAATGGAAAGGAGCTTCTGGAAGGGACCCAATCTCACGAAAATGAAACCTTGGAAGAAAACCCGCATGTTCTTGTAAAATGTGAGACAAAGAGAAGAAAAAGAAAATCAACCGAACCGGATGCAGACTTTGAAGATGATGTCCCAGAAACTGTTCCAGAAAAGAAGCGTAATGGACGTGGGAGAAGAAAAGTTCAGGAGCCTGCAGCTCCAAAGAGACAAAAAACAAAGGATCCTGGAGAAGGGATACAGCTTCAGGAAAAGGAAACTCTGGAAGAGAATTCACACTTTCTTACAAAATGTGAGACAAAAAGAAGAAAAAGTAAATCAGATGAACAAGAAGTACGGACTTCGACTGTTGATGATGTTGAACTGACGGTGGAAGATTTAGTGATCATTGCTGAAGAGGTAATTTTCTCTTTAATATTGAAAAGAACTGATTCTGATATTTTCTGCTCTTAAATCTGTATGATATAGGGCTGTAGTTTCTATTTGTAAACAAGATCTTATGATATATTCTACGATATTTTACTGGAACACAAACTGGAGAAATTACATTTCTATCAATAGCTGTTGATTGTTTATCTTGGTCTCCAAGATTAGATAGAGATTGACTTAAGAAATATCGTGATGATAGTACACAAGATATTTTCTCTTTAATATTGAAAAGAACCGATTCTGATATTTTCTGCTCTTAAATCCGTATGATATAGGTCTGTAGTTTCTATTTGTAAACAAGATCTTATGATATATTCGACGATATTTTACTGGAACACAAATTGGAGAAATTACATTTCTATCAATAGCTGTTGATTGTTTATCTTGGTCTCCAAGATTTGATAGAGATTGACTTAAGAAATATCGTGATGATAGTACACAAGATATTTTCTCTTTAATGTTGAAAAGAACCGATTCTGATATTTTCTGCTCTTAAATCTGTATGATATAGGGCCGTAGTTTCTATTTGTAAACAAGATCTTATGATATATTCTACGATATTTTACTGTAACACAAACTGGAGAAATTACATTTCTATCAATAGCTGTTGATTGTTTATCTTGGTCTCCAAGATTAGATAGAGATTGACTTAAGAAATATCGTGATGATAGTACACAAGATATTTTCTCTTTAATATTGAAAAGAACCGATTCTGATATTTTCTGCTCTTGAATCTGTATGATATAGGGCTGTAGTTTCGATTTGTAAACAAGATCTTAGGATATATTCTACGATATTTTACTGGAACACAAACTGGAGAAATTACATCTCTATCAATAGCTGTTGATTGTTTATCTTGGTCTCCAAGATTAGATGGAGATTGACTTAAGAAATATCGTGATGATAGTACACAAGATAGAATCCTAATGTCACTATCATTTTGCTGCAGTATATTGAAGCTGATAGAAGTATGAAGCGAGAAGAATTATCGAACCAAGAACGTGAATCAGACAGGAGACTTGTAGAAAGAGTCTGTTCCGGTAATGTGTTCGAAGATTCTGTTGATGCCCAAAAGGGTAATCAAGGATCACTTATCCCGGATACAACTACGTCCAAGCCAAATGGGAGTTTGACAAGTACAGAAATGAACTTGAATTCCAGCGGGAGAGATGATCCTGCTCAGGACATGCTGGATCTGTTTTTAGGGCCGTTACTGAAGAAAACCGTCGAGAAGGAGACAAAGGAGAAGGACAGAAAGGCTCAAATGTTGACAGAGAATATGACATTTTCCCAAGAATTCAAAAGACAAAGTGAGAGTAATGTCATTAGAGAAGAAATTCCCCCCGCCCCCATAGTGAAGAAGAAGAGCAGTCTTAGAGACAAGGTGGCAATGTTTCTTGACTGAACCAGATACTGAAAACTGTTAACAGGGCGGATCTGTATGGTACAATGAAAGGTAAAGTTCAGACGATACATGATCCTGGAGACTGATCAGATGCATCAGATGCAACAATCAGTCTTCTTTGCGGATTTATCATCTCGCCGCAGATGCTACTCTGGATAGAGATCTGCCACTCTTGGCCTTGGTTTGTGACCAAATCTCTACGATTTGGTTAAGTGTGTTGCATAGATAGATACTACAATTCTGTCATCTGTTTAGCAATTGGCATGTAACATGATATTTTTCTGTAAATTCTTTCAATTATTAACATATCTCACTTAAAGAGTATAGAGCTGCCTAATTTTGATTTTTAAGATAACTACCCCATTCGTAATTGTACTTTCACTATCTCTGTTTCACTTACCATACCAAGGTTAAATTTTACCTTCAATATTTCTCCCGCTTGTGTACAGAATTTTTTTCCTTAATAATCTTCTTCAATGGAGTGGTATGTGTTTTTACGGGTTGAGCTTGGAGGTTAAGGGTTAATGCAACTGCCGCATAGGATATTCGATAGTGGTAATGTTAGGAAGATTAAATTTGTACGTCAAATTTAAGTAAACTAAATGACATGAAAGTTGATGATTGGATTATCACTTGAGTGTTGATTAACGTGTTTATTTCTTACTGGTGACATATCACTCAATTTGCAAATTTAGTTTACTTAGCATTACTCATCAGGGCATTACGTTGGGTGGGACATAGGTAATGCTAGAGCGACAAAATTTTGTAAACTAAATGACATAGAAATTGATAATTGAATTATTACTTAAATGTTGATAAACGTGTTTTTTTTTTTTTTACGACACATTATTGAGTTTGCAAATTTAACCTACCTAATATTACTCGGTGTGACTTGTCGGTTTGAATTTATGAAACATAAATTAAATAATTTAATTTTTGTGAAAGGTATTTAAAGATGACGTGATTAGACATTTATAATTTGTTTTTGTAGCGTGAAGCAACGGTTAAAGATGACGTGATTAGACGTCTATAATTTTTCTTGTCAAGAGAGGCTACAATTAAAGATAACCTGATTGGACACCCGTAATTTATACTTGTTAAGCAAGACGACGGTTGAAGATGACGTGATTGGCGACCGGTAAGTTTTTCTTGTCGAGTGAGGCAGCCACCGCCGTAGTGTGAATATTCTTTTCGTAACCGCCCAACTCAGTACAGCTTTCTTGTCCTTCAAGTTTTGATTAGCTTCTTTTGCTTTACTTTGCAACCCTGTCAATCGTTATTCTTCGTTGTTTGTGCCCTGTGCTTTCTTTTCTGTCCGGTTGACAGTTTGACACTTTGACTGTGAGAGTGAGAGAGAGAGATCCAACAAGTTAACGGCCGTCGTTTCGTCGGAGGGGTGATTTTAATATCGTGGCTGACACTATACTTAACGGCCGTCAATTGGTTGGCGTCTTATTTCACACTTTCACTTTTGTCTGCATGTTTGTGTGTCAGAAATTTTACTCCAGAAACTGCGCTGGTCTTTTTCTGAGTTTGTGTGATTGAACGGAATAGCCTTTTGTTGCTTGATTGCTTCCCAAATCAACATCTTTTTACATCACCTTTAACTTTATCTCACTTTCACCACTCATGTGTTACTATAAAAAAAAAAACAATGGGCTAGATTCAAAGCATATTACCATACTTGGAGAGAAATTTCGGTAGACACATCATATGGTCCATCATTTATCTAATGTCGGCAGCTCACATCTTAGAAAGAAGTTTCCTTGATATTTTTCATATAATTATTAATAATGCAATATCTCTCTTCCTCCTCCCTCCTCTGCTTGTTTGTTTTAGTGAAGATTACAAATGGTGAGAATATAATATATCATTTTATAGTTGAAATGATAAAATATGTTTGAGGAGGAGGACTGCCACATGACTATTAAGGAGGGATGTTTTCCTTGAAGACAAGATAGCAGGCGTTGACTTTTGACTATTGAATGGAATCAACTTATAATCTTTTAATAAAAATCTAATATTTAAAATAGGATCATTTTGGTTCCGATCCCTAATCAACTAATCGTTAGATCGAAATCTTGTTTATTTAAATATTTTGATCGAGGTCCTTAACCTCATTTAAGAGATTTAACTCATGCATTTATGCATTTAATGCCCTACAAATTATGAAATTTAAACAAATTCAAATATTATTTTTAAAATATAATACATACTTAAAAATCAATTTTGGAGTAAATTGTTCTTCACAAAAATTATTAAAAAATAAAAAAATGTACCCGCATATTTAAAAAAAAAAAAAAACCATTGATATATCTTTAAAACATAAATAATAAATTAGCATGGGTACATTTAGCAAAATTCAATATGGGTGCAAATACAATAAAAGTTTAAAAAATATGGGCACAAAAAGGAATTAATATATGGGTACGAATTAAAACTCATAAGAAAATTTGTACAAATTAAAAAAAGGGTTGCAAATTAAAAATGGGTACAAACTAAAAATAAAAATATACCTAATGTAACGTTTCTAACACTTGGTATAATTAATGACGTATATTTTTATCATATACCAAATGAATATATTTAGAAATAACAAATATTTTATTATTGAAATAATTAATGACATATATTAAAGTCTAAGGACCTTGATCAAAACCTGAAAATGAATAAGGTTTTAATCAATGGAGTAGGAAAAATAGGGATGAGAGCCTAATTTTTTCTTTAAAATAATATACTTGTACTAAACTAATCATGTTGCATGATTTTCTATTCATATTTTTTAGGATAAATTAGAACTAGATGTCTTATTTTAGATTTTTCTAAATTAAACATCTATTACATTTCAACTTTTGATTAAAGTGCTTTTACTTTTAATTAAACTGTATATTCCAGGTATATTCTTAATTTAAGTATTTTATAAATTCTTTTAAATCCATTTCTATGTAAAAAAAAAAATGCACTCAATAATATTCATTAATTTATTGCTATTTTTATGGAATCTTATCCTGTCCTCAATTTAAGGATTCAATTATATCTACTGGGGTTCAAGATTAATTGGCTGAAATATAGTTTTTCCAACTCAACATTTTATATAGATTATAAAAAACAAGAGTTCGTTTATAATTAAAATTGAGATGTAGACTAGACTGCCTAATTTCATGCAACTGAAAATAAATTTGAATTTTTTAACAACTACTTATGGTAGAAACGTGAACTAAGAGTGTTCACATTTTTATTTAAATGAGTCCTTATTCCAATAATTAATTATTAAGAGTTGACAAAATATTTGTTAGTGCAATGTTTTAATGTGAAAAGTTATCTTTTTTTTGCGTTACACAACTTACACATAACGTACCATAAGTTTTGTACGTACCAAAATAAGGATAATACAACGTACTAATAACTTGATTCTTACTAAATAAAGAATTGCATAACGTACCAAAAGAAATATTTTATAACGTACCAAAATACTAATACGTACCCAGATTAAATTTATATAATGTACCAATAACGTACCAAATGATTGGTACGTTATATTTAATATATCTGTTTGGTACGTTATATTTAATATATGTGCATGTTATATTTCATAATTGTATGTTAATAGGATGTTTATGTGTTTTTGGAATTTAAAACAACAAATTATTTGAATAAGAAAAATTCATTTTGAACGAATTATAATAAGATAAGATAGGATGTTTGTGATGATTTTAGAATATTTGTGATATTATTTTCTGAACTAGTTGGTTAATTAAATACAATAAAAATCATATTTTTTAATTAAAAATTAGTAGAAGAATGTTTGATCAAAAGTTTAAAAGTTACAGATGTTTGATTAAAAAAATTCAAATTTGAGGCATCTATATCAAAATGCCCCTATTTTTTATGCTGCAGGCTGCACCGGTTTTATAGTATGAATCAAATATAGTACGCATCGGAATCTTTAGGGGTTGGATGTTTAAGCGTACATTTCATTCATTTTGCACTTGATACATATTATGTGCCGGTCCATTCTAGAGCTTTCGTGGTTGCTATCGAAGACGGAATCTCGAAAGGCCGACTTTGCGTCCAAGTTTCTGAACATCTTGCTGGACTTGGTTTCTGTAATCTCGAAAACTGAAGTTTCTATAGATGGAAGACTGTGATCTGCAACTGCCGATTAAAGAGTCGTAGGAAGGGCACATGAAGTATGCTATTGAGTAGCGTTCCCTCTTCTCATTTGCCATCACCTTGTGCTCCACACTTTTGTACACGTCATTGCTCCACGCCTGTATTAACACAATTAGGGTTTACGAACTAATTAATCCAAAGTAATTAACCACAGCTTAATTATTATAAAACTAATCAAATTAATGGGAGTTGAGCGTTGACGTTTTTGAAGAGCTAATAACAATTCCTCACCTGAAAAAGATCTCCGATGTTTACGATAAGTGCATCTTGGTTGGGTTTTACAGCAACCCATTTGGAGTCTTTCAAGAGCTGAAGTCCTCCCACTTCGTCTTGGCTTAGAATTGTGAGGAAATCGCTGTCAGTGTGAGGCACTAAGCCGAACATCTCCGGTGATATCGGACAAGCCGGGTAGCGGTTCAATCGGAGAAAGCAAGTGCTCGAGTCACAAATGTCTTGCAGCGCTTCCTTCCGGTGTCCCAGGTTGTTCACTAGGATCCCGGCTAGCAACTCCGCTAGGTTTGACATTTCTCCCTGCAAATTCCTCCATCTCTTCCCTGTACAAAATTTCCAAAAAAGAAGGGTTGGTGAGTTATTAGTGACAAAGGGTACTGCCAATGCAGCATTGGCCACTGTGATGGCTTACAGAAGCAACTTGAAAGTTCCAAGTTGCATTCAGAAGGACCACTCAGTAACAGGCCACAGTTTCTTCCAGAATATTACAGCGCACATGTTTATTTTTGTTTCTTAATTCTCATTTATTTTATTCGATGTAAAAGTTACAAATGAACAAGTACATGTGTATAAAAGAAAAAAACAGGTTGCCAAACCACTTTGCTAAGTTCATTAGATAATTACACTACCTGAGCGAGCTAAAATCGTCCCCATAGCAAGCTTGGTCCGATATTTTTGTGACAGGAATGTGAAAAGATTCGGACCAAGAGTACTGAGTCGGACCAGTAGCGGTCGGTGTCCCCCACCTGTACGAATTATTAAGCAGCCCGCAAGTAGCTTTCCATTCGAAGGGCGCTCCAAACAGTTTGAGCTGCTCCGTCCGCATATTCCGTAGTAGCTCGGAGCTTATCCCGTGGTTCACCACTTGAAAAAAACCCCACTCCGACGACGCTCTGCAGATGGCTGCAGTGCATTCTAGCCTCTCCCTCTCGTCGAGGCTATTCAGCCCGTTGAGGTCTATCAACGGGAGCTGGCATTCTTCCGTGACCGCTCCTCCTTGTCCGCGGTCGATGCCTTGGCAATGATGGTTGCGCACGAGGGATTTGTAATGGTGTTGGAGAGGAGGGGTTGAGTCTATCATATTTGTGTGTTTTGGTGATGAGGGTTGTGAAGTTTGAATGAGTTGATGAGGAGGAGGTTATGAAGTGCGGTACAAGGTGAAAAATGAGAAGTACCAAATATACGTATGGAAATATATATACGGTTAAAGAGAGAAAGAGGAGAGAGAGGAGGAGGAGGAGGAGGAGGGCACAAGAGAACAAGAAGAAAAGAACAAACGTGCGAAAGGAGAAATTTTTAATTGTGACGCGGAAGGAGAGGGGTCAAAAGGGGAGCTCTCAAGGGGTGACAAGTGTCAGAAGAAGACCATTTCTTTTGTGATATTGTTCTTGAGAGAGGCCTGAGAGGAGACCAAGTCAATCAGTCGACACAGATACTAATTAAATGTTGAAAACAATTGATAAAAAAAAAGATGGGAAAATGATAAAGGGGATGAATCCGACCTAATTCGTCCTTTTTGGCTCTGTGGACAATATGAAAAGCTTAAATCAATGGAATAAGACCCATTCATTTCCTCCTGTTTGGCAATGGCAAGAGCTAGCTAAGCCTGTCCCCAGTTGCTCATTTGACTTTTGTTTTGGTCCTTCATACAAAGTTATTAGTTAAAGGATATTGCTTGGTTTCTTTTGAAAATGTTATTTTTTATTTTTGCAAATTACGGTTCAAACACATAAGTTCATAAAACACAAGTGTTTACTGCCTTGTCTACCACTACCAGTAATCGAGTTTTAACCTTCAATTAATCTGTTTAATTTGTATTTGCAAAGAAACTTAGGAACCAACTAATTAACATGAGGAGGAATCATTATCATTTTACTATAAACTAAGCTATTTAAATATCACAGAACATGTCATGGGATTGACTTCTCCTTTTTCTGCTGACTTCACAAACATGTATATTATATGTAAACATTAATAAAAAATTTCTTTTAACGTTGTTATCTTTTATGTAATCCTTTGTATTCCCAGCCCTAATTTAAATAATTTATGATTAATTAATTGGTGAGGCAGCAGGCAGGGACAGGCAGAATTGAGAAATGAAATTCCAAAAAGACAAGTGCCATGTGATGTGATTTTACAACACCAACACTGTGTTTTATGTTTTTGATCCCTAATTATATATGTGATAATAATATAATCCTTATAATTAATCTTTAATCACACTCATTAGATGCCTTAAAGTGGCATTATCACCTTTAAACTCTCCTTAAATTTAGCGAAAAATAAGCATCTAATCTTCTAGTACATCCATGATATCCGTGAGAGACTTTTAAATTTCACATTTACTTTCGAGGTCGTAGGAGACCCAGATTTATTTTTACTGCTGCAATGCTGCATGTGCATGTGCCGCTTTCGAAGTTAATTTGAAACTTTGAATAATCATTTTATAAAAATAATGATTAAGAAAAAAGAAAACCACATGTTAAGGTGGGGCCCCAAAATCTTAAGCAAATTAAGCAATTAGGTCATCAAGGGAAGGGAGGGAGACACGGTGCCGCCCATATGACTCGATCCCTCCCTGAAGGCTCGACAATATGATGTAACAATCTATCGATGTGTAATGTGTTGCTGGTGCTGGTGCTGGTGCCGCCCAAAAGGCAGAGAGGCATACACAGAACAGCGGCATGTCTTGTTCAGTCCACAACTCTCTGATCACAACAAACACAACCAACTTAATTTTGTTCGTTTGGCAGGCAGTAGGTCTGTGAATCGGCTCGATTAAAAAACGAATCAAAGCTTGAGCATTGATATATTTGGTTCACAAAAGGTCGTGGGAAGAAGCTTGTATTCTTTTACGAAGAAACCTCAAAATGGGTTTGGGTTCTGCTTAAATAGTTGGATTTAGTTCATGAAAGTAACAAGTTAAGACTAATTAAGCTTGATTTAGAACGAACGTACCAAACTAGAGTATTGATATGTTTGGTTTATAAAATTCGTGATAGACTTATATTTATCATGAGACAGCTCGAACTAAGTTTGAACTTGAAGTTTTAATTAGTACAGGAAATGAGTTCTTCATACTGTCGTACAACTGACTTGTAAACTAAATTATAATAACGCCGGGGACCAATTGGGCGGCTAAGTTTCTTGGGTCTACTTTTATTCATCAAATGCTCAAACAAAGAGATTTATGGATTTTTAAACAGTTAAATAAATAAATTCTTTGACTAAAACCCTAAAAAACTTGAATGCAAATATGAATATACAATCCACGTGCAGGCTTTGGTCGGATTCGTATGTTGTTTACGATAATCTCATAAAACGTCTTGGTTTTTGGAAGAATATGCTTTTGGCATTTTTTCCAAGAGATTTGGTTGTTACTTGTTAGTCAAGGCAAAAGAGACATAACAATTTATAAACATTCATCTCATATATTATTCTCCTTAAATATGCACGGAAAAAATAAGCCATTCAAATTTAAAAGTTGATCTTCTATCTATTTGGACAAAAAAAACATTACGTTCTTGGTACGGAAAGTGCTTTGTCCGAGAATTAGCACTTGATTCCAAAAGCAACAATATATATGGAAATTACCAAAAATACATTTGTGGGATTTGGTTGGATGCGTATAGTTTTCTTTGTCACTTTTGATTCGGAACCTAATGCTCAACAAATTGTGATTAGACGATTTCATTTTCTTATCAAAGAGCGGTTTGAAAGTGTTTTTATAACGATCCATTATTACAAATTATAAAACTGTTTTCAAATACCTTATAATGTTTTGGACCTCGCTGTTATATTTTGTACTTATTTTTTTAGTTTTCGGCTTAAATATTCTACTAAATATACATTTGTTGCACAATAAATCGTAGATCCGACTTCCAAATACCATATAAAGTTTTATTTGTACATAAATCATCATTTAATCTGTTTATTTTATAAATCAAATGAGACCCCTATTCTACTAAAACTAAGAATGCCAAATTCTATTAGTTTATATTATTTTTTGTTTTTCAACTGGGACCCTCTATTAATTTATAATGTTTTTTTTTCAACTTTAAAAATGAATAAAAAAATTAGTTTCTAAACCTAATTAATGTTAGGATCACATCCACAGGTCTTGCAACATTTTCCTTCAATCCCATGCAAAATATTTCCTAAAACTAATTTTTTTTTATTTTTTCCACAAAAACTGTGACTTATGAACCACGTTTTCTAATCGATTTTGAGAATTTTTACGGGATTCATTGTAAGCCAAATTTTGAATCCTTCTCATTGCACCGCATGTTACCTAAAATTAATTTTAGGACATTCTAAATATTTTCAACACCTTCAATCTCTTTGAGGGCTCTGCTATTAGTTTATATTATTTTTTATATTCTTCAACTTTGAAAATCAAAAAAACATGTTTCGGAATTTAATAAATGGTCGGATCACATCTAAAGGTCTTGCAACATTTTCCTTAACTCCAACACAAAATATTTCCTAAAACTAAAAATTTCAATTTTTCCACAACAACTGTGAGCAACTCTCGTTTTCAAATTGATTTTTGAGAATTACTTTTATTTTTTTCAAATTTAAAAATTAATAAAAATAGAACCGGAACCTAAGAAATCATAGGATCTCATTCAAAGGTCTTGCAAATTTTTCTCAACCCCAACGCAAAATATTTTCTAAAACTAAAAAAATTATTATTTATACTACAGAAAACTAATTATACACTTCTCATAAAAATTATTTTTCTTCTAAATATAAATGGAGCCATTAACAATTCCAAAACTTTTATGAGCATAGACTCTTGGTTGAGAATAATTCTCAAATAGGGCCCAAACAAAATTTGATGGAGTAGTTCGGGCTTCAAGTTTAGGCCTAATAACAACCGGACCAGTTGTGCTTCGATTTTTGCAAGCCCCAACTTCTTTTACCATTTTACCGCGGATGCTAGTTTGGCTTGGTTTTAGGATGTTCGTGACCATTGGTAGGGTACAATTCTCAACTAGTTTTATTTGGGCATCGATGAGGTAGGTTAGTCACCAGTTGCCCACTTAAAAAAAAATAAAAAGAAAAAAAAATATTAACGGCTGTCACTCTCTATTCTAAAGCTATATTTGAATTCTTGCTAGCCTAAAATTTATTTGATTATGTTGATCGTACGCTATCACATGTTGAAAGCGGCTTTAAATTTTTCGGCAACAACGACATTACCAAAGAATCATTAAACTGTAGTGCTAGTACAATATTGAAGATGGATGTTGACGAATGCCTTCATATCAACATTGGACAACTTCATACATGTCCTTTCCAGAAGGGCAGCTTACTGTTAACCCAAAAAAAAAAAGTTAAAATTGGACCTCAATTCTTAATTTTATTTAAGCCGCTAATCCAGCTCTTAAACCAAATTTACAAAAAAAAAAAAAAAAATTGTGTCTAAAATTTGATCAGAAATAAGGAGTGATGCACCACTTTCAGAGCAAGAGAACTTTACGGGTTACCATTGATTTTAATTTTCCACTATTTTTTTTTGTTAATTTCTAATCCCAAACTCTAATTAAAAAAGAAAAAATATTAATACAAAACCCACCACCATCGCAGTCCCCACCTTTATTTCTCTTTCTTAAAATATTTTTAGATGAATAATTTTGCACGATTAAAACAAACTTTTTAGTTGAAATTTCTTGCCTCAAAAAGTAGTTATTTAATTAATTTTATTTATGCTTTTCTCTCTGTTGAAGCAGTAGTGACTACAGGAGGCAACAGATGATATATCCTCGTTTTCCAGAACACCGTTCAGGTAACTCCGTCTAACTCCTCTCTCTCTCCCCTCTCCTTCTTCTTGCTTTCTTTTTTTTCCCTAATTTAATTTGTTCCATTTTTTATTTTAATTTTCCTTTATTATTAATTCTCTTTTGTTTTGAATTTTGTATGTTTAATTCGTTATTTTTCTGGGTTTTGTGGTTCTAATTATGTGATGATATACGCTCCTCTGGGATGAGGGGTTGATTTTTATTTTACATTTCCATACTATTGTTTCCCAACATTTTTTTTTCCTTTGAAAATTTCCAAATTGCATGACGGAATTGTATGAGAGCTTCCGAGTTCAAACTTACGAATTTCCAGCAGCTGGTTTAGCTCAAAGGTGCTGTTAATAAAAGGAATTAGAACTTTTATTATTCGATTAATAATAATACTTCTAGTATCTGATGGTGCTGAATATGGTTTTAGAATGGTAGTAAAAGAATCACATTCTGTATCAGAAAACTTTATGCCTTGACAAAAGTGCTTTTAGTACAAATGATCTTTTTTGTCACAGTCGCTCCATTTGGTTTGGGGAGTAACTTTCACAATCCCGTTTTCTCCTTATGCACTCCCGCCCATTGTTTATGTCCTTCGATTCTCTTTTGATTTATTCAATCTAAAGTTCGGCGAACAAAATATGGGATCACTTCCCCTTTTGCTTTTCTTAAGCACAAAGGCTTCGACTTTCAGTTGAGGCTTATGCTTTTCTCATGAGGAAAACTTGCTCTTATTTATTCTAATTGGTTTTTTTGTTTCACGTCAAAATTTGTATGCTGTAGGGCATGGTAAAATGGTGGACATGCAATTAAAGGGAAGTGCTTGCAGGATTAAGAAGTGTGCTTTCGATTTACTGTCAATCGGGAACGATCTGACGAACGACGAGCACTCGTGGGAGTTGATGGGAAGGGATCTCCGCCTCAAATCCACGTTCTTGTACTGTGATCTTAATCAGATGATCTCTCGTTCACCAAGGGACCAGAAGAGAGCTCTCACTGAACTTGCCAACAAACTGTTTTGCTCCATTGAAGAGGTAATTAACATAACCACCCGTTTGCAACTGCGTTTAGACCTCCCTAAACGCATGCGAGGATTTTACATGTGCAATTTAACTTTCTCACACGACAATATGTTATTTGTTTTCCAGTTGGATCATGCGGTGAAAATTCAAAGCCTGCCGTTGACCCAAGATCGATACAATGAGGCTGCTGTCATTTACAGGAGGTGATGGCTCTCGCGTCTTAAAAATAATCCCGTCGATGGTTATAAACACTGATCTGTACATTATTGTGCACACAAATTTCATGTCATCTGTAAATAAATAGCTCTATCCTCGAGTCAGATCTAGTTTTTTTCGGTTTTAAATCCGTTGCTCGCCATAAAATTCCAGCATAGAAATTCAGCAGGGTTCCTCATGAGCAAACCCACAAAGCCAAACCAGGGTACCAAGCAAAAGTAATGTGTTACAATTAGCAATTATAAATCGAAATTTACAAGAGTGAAAAATAAGTGCTGGAAGCTCCAACTGTATCTACATCGCTTATTTCCTGCACAAATGGAAGTAAGGGTACATAATTTTAGACACAACAAATGAAGCTAGCCATGGATGGAGCACTAAGATCAAATGCCAAATTGGGGCGGCTCTGAGTAGGCGTCGTCGGATATTTGCAACTCTGCTTCCCAACTTGTACGCTTTGCGCTCGGACAATGAGGCAGTCCATCATGATTCAGGACCTTGATTTGCTGCTTGAATTGGTCATTACAAATAGAAATCAACTCAATATGTCAACAAAATTCGGGCATATTTATTCGTATTCAGCTCACAATGGCATGCAGCGATTAGACAAAAGAAAGGTGCACAGAAAATCAAACTGTGTTGAAAAAAAGAGACGACAATTCTTAGTAAAGAAATGCAGAACTGACAGCTAGTACTTTCATCAAATGCATATTAGATTACAGGCTGAAATAGTCTAGAATTAATAGTTACGAAAGGCATAAACTAAGAGTACACAATCATCCAGCTATACAACAATTTGGAAAACACTTTCCACCCTCTCCCGCCTTCACAAGTGCCCGGGTCATGCACGCTAACTCACCAAGAATATGAGTCATTTCACATGAACATACCTAAGTTGCGTTACGCAAGATACTATTAGCAAGATCCTCGTCAATGGGTGGCAGTGGCGGCATTCGGCTCATTATGCCAGGCATACCTCTCATGCTGCAAAAAATGAAATAGCATTGTCAAAGTTTACCAAATCTCATTATTTGTAATATAAGTTGAAACTATGCACATACTTGTTAAGGATGGCATTTAAATTGTTCCTCGTGCGGTAGAAGAGGTCAATGTTTTCCTGCAACTGTTTATGAAAGAAACAAACTTTTAAGCAAGAGATAAAAAGCACATGCTTCTAATGTTAATGATATTATATGTTCATCCGAAATGCAGATAAAACTTATGCCAGTAAATTCAAACTCAGAAAAGAGAGATGCTTGGGGTAGGCAGTGCTGTTGTTTAGCGATAATATATAGTGGATTTGGATTATACCATGTCTACAACAAACAAGGTCAAGCTTATCATAAATGAGTAAATAAATGTAGAAAATTATTTCATTCATCAATATATGCTGATCAATTGGAAAAATAAAATTCCAGAAGAAGACCATCATGCAGTAATGCTGCTGCCACAACGCATCAGTTGCATAAAGTAACATAACAAGAACAGGCATCCCTTTTTACTTTTTGACAGATGACTTCAACTGTTAGCGTGTGGAACAATATGGCATGCAAATTAGATGTGTAATAATCAACATAACTATGATGGCAGGAGGCACTGACCTTGTATGACGAAATATTAGATGTAATTTGACTGAAGCTTGAGCATTTTGCTCCAATAGATGCTTGAATGTGCCACTTAATCCTGATAGCAACCAAAGAACAAATACGTCAATGAAACTACCAAATGAAATATATTAAGTAGTATATGTGCACAACTTCAAGAAGGGAACATGTAACAATATAGCAAGAAAGGAAAAAAATGAAATGCACACGGTAAAATTTTTGAAGGAAATGGACATAAGTAACAATATACAAGCCAGTATCTCGAACCTTCATACTGCAAACGCTCATTCTGGTCCATATGGTGCACCGAATGAGAATATGCAGCCATGTCCAGTGGTGCAGCTGAATGTATGTTTGTCTTTGAAGACGACTCCACCAGTTTATCCTGAAGAAGCATGATCTTTAGAATACTGGTTCTTCAATCAACATTAGATCCTAAAGACATTCATTGGTTCAATTAATTTAAAACAAAATCCCATTAATTGTGTTACATCTTAGGACACCAAAAGTCACCGATACATCATGGGATCTCAAATTATCATGTCCAACAATGATTACAGTGGGAATATAAAGTAATGTTTAAACTCAGGGGAAGGAGTCAACACATTATTATTATTTCCAGTAAGTCTTGAACTGAAAAAATCTTCATGATAAAAAATGAGAAGTTCGAGCCAAAACCAATGTCAGACAGTTCATACAAATTTCACAAACATACCTTCCTAATGTTCACCTTCTTTCCCATACTATGTTCTTCAGGTTTCCTACGCTTTCTCTGCAAAACATTTCAAAAGTAGTCTAACCGAAAAATCTAAGGAACAAATCTAAAGTAATGAACAAAACTAAAAATACATCATTAGGAAAAGTAAAGAGCTTACAGTCATCCACCTACACCTCAAAGCAACATCACGCACGGTTTTATCATGCAATATTGCCGCGATCTTTATATATTTCATAATACTTGGTTCATCAGCATATCTACAACCGAAATAAATATGATAAACTTCCAAACACACATAATAGGACAGCAACTAGGCAACATAAAGTAAAATGAAAGAAAATCGATGCACATCATAGCGAGAAGATATGTGAAACAACAAGGCTATTTAGAGCATAACCATACCAATTCAAGTTTTCTACTGCAGGAATGCGAAAAGCTGATAATAATGGCAATGCGTGATGGACCCCAAAATATTTACAGCACAACAGGAGGCCATAGACATAAAGTAATGGCTTAAGAAGCTAATGGTTTAAGAAGTTGATTGCTTAAGTCCAAGGAACATATGTTATGGTTATATTAGAAGGACCAAAAGATTTGCAGTTTGTTACAGTTAGACATAGTGCAAACATCAGAAGCTTCGTCAACAACAAAACTTAATCACATCAGAAGCTTCATCACAACATTCAGTGAATCGTAACTAGAGGTAGTTTAGCAACATGAATATCAAATTAATAGGCAAGCATACATAACTGTGGCACTTAAACACAGACGTACATGAACGAAAACGAATTTAACAAGAGATAAGGTTCCGAATAACCTACTTGATAAGGCCCTCCGTCAATTTGTACTGTTCCTCCACAGACCACTCAACAGCCAAGCCTGTGTCATGCTTGAGCCCGGGGACCGAATCGAGAAGCAGAGAACCTGATGAATTCCCAGCCTGACTAATTACAGGATTGTTGTTAACTATGCCCGAAATCGACGAAAACATCATGCCCCCGTCCGTAGCAAAATAATTCCCCATCGGAATCATCTCCGAGCTGCTGTGTATGGCCCCGGACTGAAACGATATAGCGTGTCGGTTCAAACCGTAGCCAAAAGCTTCGTCGCGGAGATATCCTGTGTTCGACTCCATCGCCATTTCCTCACAACTTGTACGATGAAATCCCAGTCCTAGTAGGGGAGCACACAAATCAGCTATGCAATCCAAATCAACGCACTATATTTCTGAAGGAATTGAAATTCCATATCGCGTAAAGCCAACGCTTTCCTTCTTGTTACCAAACACTCTGTTTTGGGGCTGCTCAATTATCAAAACCCTAGATTCCACGGCTCAACGACGATTGCAGCAAGCCCAATCAAGCTGCAACAAGCCGCCATAACTGGTGACAAAAAACCTCAAATTTCAGCAAAAAATAGCAACTTTAACCTACAAACGCAATACCCAAATCCCCAAAAATTCGAACAAAATTCCCAAAAAATGCAAAACCCCTCAAATTTTGACTACCTCGAAAGCTCGAGAAGCAAGAGAAATACCCACAAGAAGAAGAAGAAGCTGAGCAGTCAATAGTAACAGAAACCCAGAAAAATTGTTGAAAGCACTTGCATCCGTCGTGTAGCTCACAAATGGCAGATAATGGAAAGCAGTGAGAGAGAGAGCACCAAGTGGGTACGTGTGGTGCTTAGAGAGAGAAAAGCTTGACAGGGGCCTTACCTTTTTGGGGTTCAACTTTCCGACGGAGCCCTAATTGGCCCTCCCTTCCTTTCCATTCATTTTTTATTTATTTTCCTTTTTTTAGATTTCTTTTCTGGGCAGTAGTAGCACCACTAGCAGTGATCTCTCTCTCTCTGCTGCTCTGCTACTTTCCCTTTTTTATTTTCCTTTTTCCAAAAGCTTTTTTGGGATTATTTAATTTAATTTTCTGGTTCGTTCGTTTGTTTTCTCTTTTACCTAGCAAGACAGACAGAGAGATAGCTCAGAGGCCTGGCGCTCGGCCAATGTGGAAGCTAAGAACGGGGGCAACAAAAAGTTGAAGGCTTTAATTGTTTTTTTTTTTTTTAATTTTTTTTATTGTAATGTTGGATAAATTAATTTCTAGTTGCAGATCTTGGAATTCAGCAACAGTGCGAATCCCCATAAGCATTTGATGCCAATTATTGTGGACTCTCCACCTTTCCTTTCCACTTTTTTCTCATTAACTTTTTTCTTTTAATTGGTTTTTAATTCTCTTGCCACAATACAGTTCGAACTCGAGATTAATCTAACTCAGAACTACGCAGACGTGGACTTAGTTATATTGATCAGTAATAGTGTACTCTCTGTGTATATTTGAGTTCGTATCTCCTCGTGTGTTTTAGTTTAGTTTAGATAAGAATAACGTTTTCAGAAACGTAATCAAAACTATTTTCCCTTCTTGAGAGACCGAGAAGACTCAACAAGTTGTTTATTTAATCTATGGAATGAAAACCTCGGAAATCCAACACACTTAATCCTCACAATTTTATGCACGATCTCAATTTAATTAATTGTAGTTTTTTTTTTTTTTTTTTTTTTGAAAATGAGCATTTAATTAATTGTAGTTGTTAATTCATCAATCTATTTTTTGATTCCCTAATAATTCAACCATTGAATGCAAATAATAAACGTTATGTTTTCACTTCCTATCCCTAAAACAACTTACATAGAACTAATTTATTGTCAACATAACATCCCATCCAATAATATTATGTATTAAAACTTATATATTGCAATACTGAAAATCACATAACAATAAACTCGTTC